GTGTGTCTGTGTGTGTGTGTCTTTGTGTGTGTGTCTGTGCGTGTGTGTCTGTGTGTGTGTGTCTGTGTGTGTGTGTCTGTGTGTGTGTGTCTGTGTGTGTGTGTGTCTGTGTGTGTGTCTGTGTGTGTGTCTGTGTGTGTGTCTGTCTGTGTGTCTCTGTGTGTCCCTGTGTGTCTCTGTGTGTCTCTGTGTGTCGCTGTGTGTCTCTGTGTGTCTCTGTGTGTCTCTGTGTGTCTCTGTGTGTCTCTGTGTGTCTCTGTGTGTCTCTGTGTGTCTCTGTGTGTCTCTGTGTGTCTCTGTGTGTCTGTGTGTGTCTCTGCGTGTCTCTGTGTGTGTCTGTGTGTCTGTGTGTCTGTGTGTCTGTGTGTCTGTGTGTCTGTGTGTGTGTCTGTGTGTGTGTGTGTGTCTGTGTGTGTGTGTCTGTGTGTGTGTCTGTGTGTGTCTGTGTGTGTCTGTCTGTGTGTGTCTGTCTGTGTGTGTCTCTGTGTGTGTCTCTGTGTGTGTGTGTCTTTGTGTGTGTGTCTTTCTGTGTGTGTCTCTGTGTGTGTCTCTGTGTGTGTGTCTCTATGTGTGTGTCTCTGTGTGTGTGTCTCTGTGTGTGTGTGTGTCTCTGTGTGTGTGTGTGTCTCTGTGCGTGTGTGTGTCTCTGTGCGTGTGTGTCTCTGTGCGTGTGTGTCTCTGTGTGTGTGTGTGTCTCTGTGTGTGTGTGTGTCTCTGTGTGTGTGTGTCTCTGTGTGTGTGTCTCTGTGTGTGTGTGTGTGTCTCTGTGTGTGTGTCTCTGTGTGTGTGTCTCTGTGTGTGTGTGTGTGTCTCTGTGTGTGTCTCTGTGTGTGTCTCTGCGTGTGCCTGCGTGTGCCTGCGTGTGCCTGCGTGCCTGCCTGCCTGCCTGCCTGCCTGCCTGCCTGTCTGTCTGTCTGTCTGTCTGTCTGTCTGTCTGTCTGTCTGTCTGTGCGTTCGTGCGTGCGTGCGTGCGTGCGTGCGCGCTGTCAGTGGGGGTGCGGAGAGGGTGTGTGTGTGGCCAGGGGCCCCCTACTGGCACTTGTGCCAAATAGGCACAGGGAGTTTCCATGACAAGCACTCTCCCAGGGCTGGATCAGCTTGTCTGGCATTGTGTTCGCCATGGGCAAGGGCTACGCGCTGCCTTTGGCCAGCGGTTGGTCGAATTACGGCAGTGGGCCGCTGGGCTTGGATTGACATGGGCAAACTTGCGGGTGACCTGTGATGTTGTGCCCCCCCTTCATTTTGTGTTGCCTTGCGGTAGAAGAACAGCCTCGGCAAAAAGCAGCACGTGTGGATGGTCAGAGCACTTGAAAGGACATATTGTTATTTGAGTTCTGCGATGCTCAGCGAAGCTGCACAAAAAAATAGGTTGTTACTCGCTTTACTGGGGGTTAAACAAACAATCCTTATTTGCGTTAGTGAATGATGATTCGCCCAGAATGAGGTGTCGAGTCTCTCGCCCTTGCGTTTTTTGTCTTCGTTTTGAGGCACAGTCGTTCAGAGGCAGCCCAATTCCTTCCTTGTTTGCAAGGTTCCCCACCAAAGATCGACTCAACCAAGACCATCACTGGAAGGTACTCGCCTGCAACCTATAAGCAGATGGATGGCCTGTGCTACGTGGAGGGCCTTGTCGCTGGACCTTCCGGCACCTGGGATGTCGTGGCCACACTGCCAGCGGAATGCCACCCGAAGAAGGCGGAATGTGCGCAATGAAACCCACACTTTTGGTGGCTCGTTTCCAAAGGGTCGTGAAGGTCAAGGATTTAAAGGTTTGGAAATGAAGGCAAAGTTCGCACTTGCTCCGCCAAATCCCAATTTCTGAGTGTTGTTTTGAAGGAACATTGCGAGGACTATTTTCAAGGAGGCCCACAGAGGGTGGAATAACCCCCCTTGCACTTATGTCAGGTTTCGCACTGTTCATCAAGGATCCAAACAGAGGTTGATTCCTTGTCAAAAAAAGAGGCTTGAATTGGCCGTGCTAAAGTGTTTTTGGGTTTTGCCTTGACTGGCGGCAGCGTAAGTTGACAAGCAGGGTTCCTCCACAACGATTGAAAGCACAATTTCAGCTCAAAGTGCCACGCGGAAAGTTGTCTGGACAACTGCGCAGCACAAAGGTCAAAACGCGCACACACAAGGCTAATTGGCAGTTTGTGACACCTTCCCCCTTTCAAAAGGGGCGCCTGCTGTTCCGCATGGTCACAAGAAGCGGCTTCCTTTTTACTCAGTGAGGCATTGATGAGCACGACTGGCAAAGTTATCAATTTGTTTCGTATCTTAAGCCTGAAACAAGAGTACTGCATTTGAGAGCAATACGTGGGAGTGTGCTGGGAGAAACCCAAAGCCCTTTTCTGCAACAAACGCAAAATTCAGCATGCCCCCCTTCTTCCTTTTCCAAAAGTTTTCTCGGGGGTGTTTTTTTGGGAGACATGCTTTCATTGTCTTTGTATTGTACCCGTTTTATTGATTTGTCAAGTTGTTGCCAGACGCTCATCTTCAACTTGAACAGAGAGGGGAGCATCGCCCGCGTGAATGTCGAGACGGATGGCAAGATTAGGTGGATTGCAGGTGGAGGCATTTCGTGGCTCAGCCTCACTGGAATCTTCTTCGACCCCACTGCTGCCTGATCTGAGTCTCAACAAACCTGTGGCGATGGCAGAGCACTTTTTGGTGCTACCAACATGTTCTCCTGCCAACACCCGGGCTGTCAGTTCCACTTTCTTGGATGTCCAAGAGTGGCAGATGCTGAAGCGCGCCACGAAAAACAAACGTTGACAGCAATCATTAAAACATTTGCAGCATCCGGTCCACTGGCTTCTTGCCCAAACACACGAATCTGGGGGCGGTTCTAATACTATTAAAAACTGAGAGATTGGACCTCGAATTGAAGCATATATTGTTTGTTTTGCTCGACAATCATTACATTTCTCCAAGGTCAGATTTTGTCTGTTAAATTGATTCGATTTGTTTGTTGTAGACCTTTTTGACATTTGCCTTTTTATGAATTAAATCTGATAGAATTAGGTATTTAGAAAATAACTAAACACATTAATTTTGATTTGAGATTTTGAATAAAAAATATAATAGTTTGAATTATAATTTATTTATGCTGAATTATTTGTTATTATGATTTTATGCTATTTATGTTTTATACGAAATTACATAGATATGTTTTTTTATAAAAGGATTGATAATCTATGATATAATAGGTAATCTAATTTAAAATGTTAAATTGAAATATTCGATATTATTAATAATAAAACAAAATTAGGAAATATAATTTTGTTTATGCATAATTTAGCATTACTTTAGGCATGAAGATTGTATTAGTTGATTCCTAAAATGAGATTTAAACTAAACACATAAAAAAGGTCGAGAATTTCGATTTAAAAATTATAATTTCTTCGTAATTTAAATTTATTAAATACAAATTAAGGAAAATAATTGTAAAGGATATTGATAGATACTAGAAATAATTGAAATAATTATCGAGAGTAATAGATAAAATTACGGTAGTTAATATATTATTTTTGGAGTTTACCTCTAAAATTATTTATATGTGTGGCTAAACGTTACTTCTCGATGTTTTTTTAGATACTAAATAATGATTTCTCTGTAATTTAAATGAAATTCGGATTTTAAATTGGGTTTATATAATCTTAAGACATAGAATATGTTGTTTAATTCATCTTACGAATAAGGGATCGAAGGAATCGTGTTCCTTCGGTATCGAATCCATCTATATTTTCTTAAATTAGAAATTCATAATTAATGTTTTGAATTATATATCGATTCCGTAAATCATTATGAGTGTATTTATGTTCGGCATATTGATATGTTGTTGCATGAATTATTATATAATACAAAAGGCACTTTAGATTATTGTTTAATGATGGAAAGGAAAAAGGGTAGATGAAAAATACGAAATTTTCGAGAATTTTGATTTGGATAGGTATGAGGAGTTATATTAAGAGTCGGGAAGTAATATTTGGAAATTTGAAAATTATATTATTGGAAACAATTTAAAATTTTGGATATTTTATTTAATGATTTTTTTCCTTAATAATTTGCTAGAATTCGTATGGCTTCGAGAATGGAGAGTCGTTGTAATGGTATTCCGATCGAATCGTCGTGCTTGTGGCGAGTGGCTATGGCTGTCTCGGGTCTTTTCTCCGTGGTATAAACTCCTGCTTCTTATCGCGGTTCGAAAGTCTCCGAATTTTTGCCGAAATTTGGAGGGGGTTTTTCGGATTTTTGTTGAGAACTCTCGCGGCGTAATCCGGCCAAAGTTTCCCGAATTTTGGTTCTTAGATCTCTAGACATTATTTCCGGGAAATTTGGGAATTTGGTAATTTCGAGATTACTCGAGATTTTTGTGGTTTGTCGTTTTTTCTCTTGCTCTATATTGTTTTATTTCTTATTATTTTTATCTTTTATTTGTTTTTCTCTTTATTTTCTTTCTCTATTTCTCTTTCGCTCTTTTGTTTCTTTCTTTCTTTTTCCCCCCGAAAGCATTATGAAGGATTCTTCCGTACGGAGCTCTTGGTTGACTTGCGTAGAGTAGTTTACATAGAGTCACTAGCATGGAGATTTCAGGAGCTCTTGATTGACTTGTGCAAAGTAGCTTGCATAGAGTCACCAAAATAGAAATACCAGTATGGAGATATTCGCGCAGAGTCATTAATACAGAGTAGCTTGCATAGAGTTACCAGCATGGAGAGAGATATTTGCACAGAGTCACTAGCATGGAGTCACCAGCATAGAGTTGCTTGCGCAGAGCCAAGTGCAAAGAGCCAAGTGCATAGCGCCAAGTATTCAGAAAAGTGCAAAGAGCAAGGTGCAGGAGCCAAGTATATAGAGCTAAGTGTATAGAGCCAAGTGCAAAGAGCGAAGTGTATCGAGCTAGGGGCATAGAGCCAAGTACATAGAATTAAGTGCATAGAGCCAAGTTAACTAGGTGTAGAAGCTCGGCGTTAGCAGCTGTGTAAGCTAGGTTAAGTAAATTAGGTAAATATTTTTCGAATGGGAAAGAGAGAGAAAGAGTTCGGAATTAAACATTTATTTTCAGGCGGAGATTAGGGTTGCCGACGATCGGGAATACGATCCTCTACGGAGATCGGCATGGTGCAAAAACTCATTTTGTTTTAAACATTTTCTATTATGCCCGTACGACCCTTTGCGGAGATCGGTGTGGTCGAGGCGCAAAAATTCAAGGTTTTTTCTAACGCTTTTTGATATGCCCGTGCGACCTTCTGCGGGGATCGGCGTGGTCGAAATACAACAATTCGAGGTATTTTTGCATTTTGGAGGTGCCCGCACGACCCTCTTTAGAAATCGGCGTGGCCGAGGTCATTTGCTTGGCCGTGGCATGGAATTTCGCGGCTGACGTGCCAAGCTGTGCCAAGCGCTTCCCGTAATAGGGACATAATTTTCCGCGATGTATTGCTTAAAGCCCAAGACCTTCCATCATTGGCAGCCCATGGCGCACTAAGGTGTGGTGCAGCGAGTGGAGAACATGAATAGCTCGGGGGAGCAGGGCAGTAGCGCACCCGGCCTTTGCAGTTCGCGTTGCGGCAGGAACGGAAGCCCCAGCTTCTATGCGGCTGTGGAGTTGGACGCTGTTTCGGTCGTGGCGTTGCTTTGGCTGCTGCTCTGTGCGCGTTTGCGCTACGAGCTGCAGCAAGCGGAGTTGGCCGAACGCGACTGGTTGGCTGTTTTCTTGGACGGGCACCGCTTGGCCCGCCGCCCGTTGATGTAGTGGTACTGGGGCCTCGAGCAGCGAGGCCTCGTTGTGCTAGATAGCGGTCTTGAATTGGCCAAGTTCGGCAAGAAAAAGAGGACTTGCTCCTCTCTCAATACGCAACCCCTCGCTTGCACCACGTGCTATGCACGGCACAACAATCTGTTGCAGCTATTTATGCGAGGGCGTATAACGAGGCCATTTTTTTAAAAGCCATTTCGGCTACGATCGAACGTTAGGATTGCGCCTGGGTCGGTGGGTAGCGGAAGGCCCTAAGTAAGGTAATTTTATATAATTTGTATAATTAATATTTAGATTTATTATGTCGTAATTTATGTAAAAAATATATATAATATATATATATATAATTAAAATATAATACTAATTAAATAAAAAAATAAATATTAATATAATAATTGTATAATTCCAAAAAAAATATTAACAAATATAAATCAATTTAACAAATTAATATTATTAATGAATAAATACAAATTAAGTTTATCTTTAATTTACATAATTTATATTAATTAATATTATATATAAAAAACATTAGTTTTATTTTTTTAAGCAAATATTTATACTCTATATAATAATTAAATTAATTAACTACGAAAAATTAATTAATTATATTCTTAAAATCCTAAATAAACAAAATAATAATAATAAAAATATATATTAAATATAAATATTATACCTATTATATATAATTCCCACCTCTTTCTCTAAATAATATGTTCAATACAAAATCGAAAATCAAACATTATATTTATTACCATACACACAATACTAACAAATGAATAATAATTAACCCAACACCGATACATTCAAAATGTGATTCTCATATATATTATTCTCCTATAAACCGGTACAGCCTCGAGGTCGCATTTCCCGTGCACTGGCAAGCCGTTGTAGCGGTATTCCGGCCGAATCGTAATGCTTGTGGCGAGCGGCTATACTTGTTTCGGAGCCCCGCAATTTTGCCGAAAATTCGGGGGGTTCTTAACAATTTTGCTTAGAGTTCTTGCGACGACGCGGCTCTTAGGTTGCCGGCCGTTACCCCCGTAAATTTCTTCAGAATTTGGTGGTTTTCCGAAAAAAATACCAGGCTAAATTTCGGGGAAATTCGGGGTTTTATCCGATCTGTTTTTCTCTGTCTATTTTTGTGTATCTCTGTGAATCCCAATTTGTTTCTGTTTGGTGTTTGCGCCTCTCTGTCTCTATTTGTCTATCTATATCTCTCTATTTGTCGGGTTGTCTCGGTTTCTCTATTTGTCTCTATGTGTCCGAGTCTATCGTTCGTCTCTATTTTGTGTTTCTTTGTTTATTTCCGCGTATCCGTATCTATCTATTTAGTAATATCTATTAATATTTGTTTTTGTCTATATTTTTCTATCTGTTTATACTTTTCTCTACGGATCGGTTCATAAAGATACAATATTTCCGCGTTGCCGCGTGCTACATCTCCCCCTTTTAAGCTTTATAAAATTTTCGTTCGTTCTGTTTTGCCAAATTTTTTTTCCATTGATTTAGCTCGCTTACTTATATGTTTCCTCATTTTCTTCCTTTTTTTTTTCTCTTTCTCTCTCTCTTTTTTTTTTTTTTTTTTTTTAAATATATGTTTTTTGTTTTTCTTTTTTTCTTTCTCTTTCTTTTTTTCTTTCTCTTTCTTTTTCTTTCTTTTTCTCTCTTTTATCTATTTTTTCTCTAATTTCAGAGAAATATAGCCGTCGGCGACAAACATACACAGGGCCCGCAAAAGAAAGAAAAAGAGAGAAAATCGGATCTCTTTCGATCTCCGAAATACTACTCGAAATTGTCTATAAAAGACGATAACAAACATCTTAACCTTTAATACGCATTGTTTTTTCAAGGCTCCGCATTATTTTATTTGCCTTATAGAACGCTTCCAAACATTGCAAATAACATTAAAACCAAAAAGATAAACCAAAACAAACAAAACAAATAAACAGACAAACAATGAAACAAACAAACAAACAAACAAGGACAGACAAACAAACAAAAACATACAAACAAACAAAAACAAACAGACAGACAAACAAAAACACACAAAGAAACAACACCACGCCGACAGACAGAAACACACAGACACAGACACAGAAACAGACAGAGAGACAGAGAGACAGAGAGACACACAAACAGAGAGACACAGAGAGACAGAGAGAGAGAGAGAGAGACAGAGAGAAAGAGGGAAAGAAGGAAAGAGGGAAACAGGGAAAGAGGGAAAGAGGAAAGAGAGAAAGAGGGAAAGAGGGAAAGAGGGAAAGAGGGAAAGAGGGAAAGAGGGAAAGAGGGAGGGAAAGAGGAAAGAGGGAAAGAGGGAAAGAGGGAAAAGGGAAAGAGGGAAAGAGGGAAAGAGGGAAAGAGGGAGAAGAGGGAGGGAAAGAGGGAAAGAGGGAAAGAGGGAAAGAGAGAAAGAGAGAAAGAGGGAAAGAGGGAAAGAGGGAAAGAGGGAAAGAGGAAAAGAGGAAAGAGGGAAAGAGGAAAAGAGGAAAAGAGGGAAAGAGGGAAAGAGGGAAAAAGGGAAAGAGAGAAAGAGGGAAAGAGAAAAAGAGGAAAGAGGGAACAAGGGAAAGAGGGAAAGAGGGAAAGAGGGAAAGAGGGAAAGAGGGAAAGAGGGAAAGAGGGAAAGAGAGAAAGAGAGAAAGAGGGAAAGAGGGAAAGAGAGAAAGAGAGAAAGAGGGAAAGAGGGAAAGAGGGAAAGAGGGAAAGAGGGAAAGAGGGAGAGGGAAAGAGAGAAAGAGGGAAAGAGGGAAAGAGGGAAAGAGGGAAAGAGGGAAAGAGAGAAAGAGGGAAAGAAAGAAAGAGAGAAAGAGGGAAAAAGGGAAAGAGGAAAGAGAGAAAGAGGGAAAGAGGGAAAGAGAGAAAGAGGGAAAGAGAGAAAGAGGGAAAGAGGGAAAGAGGGAAAGAGGGAAAGAGGGAAGAGGGAAAGAGGGAAAGAGGGAGAGGGAAAGAGAGAAAGAGGGAAAGAGGGAAAGAGGGAAAGAGGGAAAGAGAGAAAGAGGGAAAGAAAGAAAGAGAGAAAGAGGGAAAAAGGGAAAGAGGGAAAGAGGGAAAGAGAGAAAGAGGGAAAGAGGGAAAGAGAGAAAGAGGGAAAGAGAGAAAGAGGGAAAGAGGGAAAGAGGGAAAGAGGGAAGAGGGAAAGAGGGAAAGAGAGAAAGAGAGAAAGAGGGCAAGAGGGCAAGAGGGCAAGGCCCAAAATTTTCGAGAAATTTCGAACCGGACAGGTCCCGAAATTTCCCGGAAATTTGACCTGTTATGTTTTGCGGAAAGCCGCCAAATTCTGCGGAAATTTGAGGGGGTAACGTCTGGAGGTCTGAGAGCCGGGTCGCCGGAAGCGACCCAAAATTCGGTAAGATTTGGCCGGTTATGCCGCGAGAGCTCTAAGCGAAGATTCGAAGAACCCCCCCAAATTTCGCCAAAAAATTCGGAGCCTTCCGGGCGCGCGAAGAGGCGGGAGCTTGTGCCGCGGAGACCTCGAGCCCGCACCGGTTTATAGGATAATATTTGTTATCATCAATAACTATTGATATATTTAATATATTATCATGTTTATCATTATTATTTATTTATATCGTTGGTTTTCTCGTTTTTTTTCCCTCTTTGTGTCTTTGTATATATATATATATCTATATATGAATGTAACAATATACATACTAATTTATATACATATAAGACTTGATCAGAACATATATATATATATATTAAGACACATATTCAATAAAACACACATCATTCGTATTTAATGTACCATATATAATATTTTTACACCTGTTTTTTTTTTTATATATCTATGTTGTTATCGATATTCTGTTCAGCAACTTTGATGTTCAATGAGTCCCCAAATCGGCATCATCCATGGCAAAGGCCGCAGCCCCGTGAGAAGATGCGCCAGGTTCCAAAGCGGAGATCCCAGCTGCCCATCTCAACGCTCCGCTTCAGGTACCCAAAAGTGGCGCGTCTCGCATAGCGCACATAACACCCTCGCGACCAGGGCGGTGCTCAAAGATGTGGAGCGATCACCCTCCCCGTCCCACTTGCGAAGCTCCGACAGGTGGCTGAAGAGTGATCGAACCTGTGTGAGGTCAACGGACCCGACGTGTTGTTTTCATGTGGGCATGGGTTTGCGTTCTATGGTCATCAAGAACTGCGTATCTGCTTGTCCCAGTATGTCAACTATTCTGAGTTTCAAAGGTGAGCTGACATACCCATAACATGGTTTATAATTTGGATTTTGTGATTTGTAGTTGACAACATGTTGGCAACGTTGCAGTACCTGGTTCTTGATGACAACTGAATGCTTTCAGTCTACCCTTCAGAACCCTTGAGAAGTTGTGTCACTACGTTGATGAGAACACTTGATGATCTAAAGGTATAGCTTGGCTGACCCGTTGAATGGTTTCAAGCTGGAACCCGTGGCGCCAGCGCTTGTTGGCTGTGCCACCTGGCCTCAAGAATGCGCTTTTGGCACTGGCCCGAACGGAGGGCAAAAAACATCAATTGGCAACCGTTTAATCCACGACTATGAACTGGCAACTCCGGACCGTCAACTACTTGACTGAACATAGCGTCTCTAAAACGGGGTACCGCACTCGGCAAGGACCAAAAAAAAGACTTGACCATGCCGACAACTCTTGGTCAAGTAAACAACTCGTGAGGAAAAATGCGACAAGAATCAAGTTTCACACCTTCGTGCTGGACACAAATTCGCTGACTCACTCGTTGCAGAATTCGTTTCTGGGGTGGCAATGTCCACAATTCCCTGACCACATCAAAGATCACATTCCAAGTGTATGCCTAGCCGCGCGCTTGAGACCAGCAGCTGCCGCCAGAGCGGCAGTTCCACACTCTGAACTTGGTCTGCGTCAGCCCAGCGCTCGTACCATTTGTACGAAGCAGCCAGTCGTCGCACAATCTACACAAGATTGACATGGCCCTCAGCAAGAAATGATGCAGCTTTCAAACTGGTTTTGCACTCTTGGTTGGTCTCTATGCAATCATTTGATTCGAAACATCAACTTGCAACTGCCCACGCGGCACACAAATCTGCATTCCGCCTCCGAGAATCAGCTTGCGCTCTCAGCGATGCATCGTGCTCTCTGCCAGAGTGGGGGGCAGCTGTGCTAAGACCTCCTCCTTGGAGTAAGCCGCCATGGATCCTTCGGCCAGCCCAAGCGGTTGCTTCAGGGTCAGCACCAATGCCACGAAACATCCAACAAGTATGATAGCTTGTGAAAGCCTGCCATGCTGGAGACAGTCCCGATGGTCAATATCACATTAATGCGACGCAAGTAGAACATGTCAAGCAGTGTCATCTTGGCAGCGGTGCAGCTCGATCTACAAGGAAGCCAAGAGAGGGAGTGAAGTTCGACAGGCATGGCTATGGGAATGGTTCTCGAAACTGGGTCAAGCAGCTGGTACTTCGAACATCCGAATGATGTGGTCAGCTGCCCTGTTAACAAGATGTGAAGGGTGCTGTGAAACCAAACAAGTCCAGCTAAAGTTTGGCATCCAAATCCAAGAGACTCAGCTACAACAGGAAGTGGAGAAGCAGCTCTAAGACTCTAAAGTCTGACGCTCGCATCTTGTTTGCAAGGGAACTCTGCCACAATCCTTGCACCTGGCCTGGTTTCACCGATGGTGTGCAAGCATCTGATGTTGAGGGTCTTGAAAGTACTCAACTGCCTGACACCCCAAGAACACTTCCTCATATTCACCGCCCGTGGACCTTTGCACTGTCAAAAGCTTCAATTTTTGAGCTGGATTAGATCTGCATGATCCAACTGTCCAACAGGAATGAGACAGGAAATGGTCTTTGCATATAGATCACGGTTCGGACATGATCAACATGTATCCAAGGAGTGCCCAGGAGTTACTTACAATCTAAACACACACAAGCAAGAATGCCACCACAAATTGTCTAATTGAGAAAGTGGGAATCTCAAGTTTCAACTCTACCAACTCCCCAATCAAAGAAAAACTAACCAAATGAACCACATCACAACATCTGGCGACCCACAATTGGGTACTGCTTCGAACCCACTTAATCTGGTCATGTTTCGTGCGAGGCATCAGCCACCATAATCATCCAGTCTTTGAGGTTCGTCATCTTCGGTAAGAAAGCTAAAAACTTCCACCTCATGTGGCATAGTTTTTGGGGTACCTTCCCCATTCTTTCCAGGATCCTTCTGTTCAGGAAACCAATAATAAAAAAGCGGGGAAACTGCCAGTTTTTGCAAAGAACAATGGTTGAAAAGAATGGGGAACCAACCCCTAGAATAGTGGTCCAAGCTGCTTGTATTGAGAGAGCTCTATAGGCCCAAGTCTTGCTCAAGTTTGAGGGACTTACGAGCGGTCCAGCCCCGTGCTGGGAGATATATGCAAGAGTACCAGTGTGACGGCTTAAAGGCGCACGCAGGGTGCGCGCGCGCACCGATTTGCAAAGAATACAAACCAACTATCGAATATATCCATTATTTGTATCTATTCCAATTGAATGATACCATGCAACACATCATGTGGTAAAAGCTATGATTGATTTTGATGACTTGGAGCTGGATGAGTCGTGTCACGTGTCTGATGCACGGTAATCAGGAGCTCTTCGCTCAGCGCTACGAATTTCAAAAGGCTTATGCACAGTCTGCACAGTGCCCGTAACGTCACTGGCTCTCCGGTTCGACCCAAGGGGCCCTTGTCACAGACGCAGCGCCCTTGGAGTCGACAAGCGCCTGCAAGTCTTCCTTCCAGCCCAGCAATTCTGACAAAGCTTTGCAGCCCGAGTCGCAGTCACCAGCGTGAAATGCATCCCTCCAGTTCTGAGCCTCTGCTAAGTGGAACCGGAATCCGAATTTCAGACCATCACAAGTACCAGCCTGATCTCGATTGATGAGCAGTCTTGGCGCGCTGCGAGCTGCATAGCCAACCAGCCCCGCAAAAGGATGCACAACCAAAGATGTGCCCATCACAATCAACAAATCGCAGTTGGCCAAATCAGTTCGGTGCAGTCGGGCAAACCTCTCTGGGAGCTCCTCCCCGAAGAAGACGATCTTTGGCTTCACAAGGCCTCCCTTGTCTTCTCTTAGCTTCTGCCAGCCCTCCTCGCCCTTGTCCAGGGCGGATTTCAACTCGTTGATGTCCACCAGAACCTCAAGGGGGGGTTTGAACAACCAACCTTTTAAAAGGGAGCCAAAAGTAGTTTGTGGAAACAATTCGTCGTTTCAATCCAATGTGTGAAACAAGGGGTTGGCTGAACTCACCTCGGGCTCCGTGTCGATGACGTGTGCTTCGTCGAAGTTTCCGTGGGCAGCCACCAACTTGTCGCCTGACTGGGTGACAACCCGTGCTTCAACCATGGCTTCAACCACTAGTCAGTTCCCCTGTAGTTGGTGCTTTGGATTGGTGGTTTGGAGCATTGTACCTCTGGTTCTGGTAGAGGGAAAAGGGAAAGCCACCCCGTAACTCCAAGCCACCAAACCAAACCATGAATTGGGCGGAAGTTGAGTGATTAAACAATCAAATCATCGAAAGGGCGCTGGGCATAGAGCATGCGTTTTAAATGCAGCGCCTTTTTGGTTTCAGGCCACCTGTTTGGTCGCAAGCAGTTTTTATGCAAGTGCCTGGCAACCCAGCGCGACGCTCGAGGCTGTCAATGTTTTGGGAGTAGCATCGCAGCAGAAGGCCCTTCTCGTGCAGCAGGCGGATGAAGTAATGCGCCGGGGTGGGCTCAAAGTTGCCCGGCCACATCTCCCGCGCGAGCTCGTAGAAGGCCCCCGGGTTCCTGCGGAAGAAGTTCAGCTCGAAGATGGATTCCGCCTGAGGCAGGTTGAAGCGCTGCAGATTGTCATACAGCCCCGTGCCTGGCACGGGTCTGGAAAATCACCCTTGTGCCAACATGGGTCATTCCCGTATTGAAGGGGTATTCCCTTAAACTGTTCACAGAAAGTGAAGACCCAAACCCGCATCTGAGTTTTCTCCTCACAGAAAACAAGAACCGCCTACCACCAAAAACCACATCTTATGTTTTTCCTGGTTTCTCCCGGCTTCCCCCCCCCCCCCGTGCGCCTGGCGTCCGGAAGTCGGGTATGCCGGCGGAGGTGGAGATGCCGGCGCCGCACATCACCACGATCCGCTGGCAGCCCTTCTCCGCGATGTACTTGGCGATGCCCTCCAGGTCGAAGCTGTCGAGCACCTGTGCCATGGGCTCCTCCTGGACCGGCTTACGCATGGCCTGCAGCACCTCAGATACAACCCAACCCCAAAGACAAGACCCAGATAGAACCTGCACCTCAGATAGAACTAAACCCAACCCAAGAAAATAACACCCCAAAGACAAGACCCCAACAAAAACAACAAAACAACATAGAACTAAACCCGACCCAAGAACAACATCCCAAAGACAGGACCCCCAAAAAAACAATAGGACTAAACCGAAGCCAAGAACAAAACACCCCAAAAACAAGACCCCCCAAAATAACAACAACACTCCGCCCCAAGAAAAACAACAACACACACAACAAAAAAAGAAGGAAACACACACACACACACACACACACACACACACACACATCGAACATGGGAAATTGAGTCATTCCCAATATTTTTTTGTTTGTGTGTGTGTGTGAAAGGGTCCTCACTGGACAAGTGAATTTTCTCTAAACACACGTGAGTCATAAACAAACTGGTATTCAACTGGTCTACCTAAACATATGTAAAGATCAAAAGAGCACTGGCACCTAGGCTGGGACGAGTACCTTCATCGTGACACGGGTTTGATTGTGGACTGATGCCTATTTTACGTTTTCACGGGCTCGCTGTGAACCAGGGCACCTTGGGAGCATCATTTGCACGAGGGTTTGTCTCCACCAACACTTTTGGAATCACCAATCCCATCCGTGGGGGGTGTCTCAAAATAGGGGAACCCCTCAATCTTTTGGCTTGGCTTCCCGTTAAACCCATCTGAAGAAGAGTACCCTCAAAAACACACCCTAAGAAGAAAGAAAGAAAGAAAGAAAGAAAGAAAGAAAGAAAGAAAGAAAGAAAGAAAGAAAGAAAGAAAGAAAGAAAGAATAAATGAAAGAAAGAAAGAAAGAAAGAAAGAAGGAAGGAAAGAAAGAAGGAAAGAAAGAACAAAACATATGCTTTACAAACAACCAGATCCACACCCCCACCCCCCTCTCCCGGACACAAACGCCCATCTCCCGCCTCCAAGGGGTGAACGCCCTTCTGCGCGAGCTCCTTAAGCTGCTCTAGCAGGCCCTCCCGGCCGTTGAACATGTTGCCCTGCTGCAGCATCTTCAAGTATTCCACCGCCTATGGCAAAAGGAACCAACTCGCTGCGATCCTTTTGGTGTGCCGACAAAAGGAAGCAACCCCGCAAAGAAACTAAACAAACAGTGACTTGGAGGGTTTCCACAGCCTAGGAATCACCCAAAGCAAACAAAACAACATCAGCCCAGCTGGCATCCTGTAAGGAACCTGCTCCAGGCCCGAGAGCATATTTGGGCTTCACTGGAAAAGGGATTCTTGACAGGATGTTTCACCACTGATGAACAAACAGCTGACGCTGGACCACTTTTGTTCAGAAGATACTCCACGGCTGTTCCAAAATGAGGGGGGGACGCCTATTTCCGAATTCGCAATCTGTAGGACCCTAGTGGGACACCACTGGGGACAACACTACCATCTGAAGGATGACGGATTGATCTTGACCAGCCTGGGCAAAGAGGGAGGGCTAGTTGCTTTCTGTTCTTTGGGGGTAGCATTTAAGCTCCGCGCCATGAGTCATGAATAACTGGAGTTCCACAGAGTTCGAGAGACGCGAGTGCTAAATGAACAAATGCTCCTGCAACCTGGCCGCTGACTGCACATCCTCGTCGTCTGGAGTCTCATCGTTGTCTGACATGACTGCTGCTTACTGCAGAAAAGGAGCACTGGATCTGGTGCTTCCCAGGGTGAACTATCTACCTTTCTTCGAGCCAATACAGCCACTCTTCACATTTGAAACAATGCCGATGTCTCTGACAATGGGGGGCTCTTGCCACCTCGACGCTTGCCAAGCCAGCTTCTTTTCGGCGTTCACGCACCGCTGCTCTCGCAAGATTGCAACATGCCAGCTCGACTAGTCACTAGTCACATGGCAGGATCTGCTCGCAGGCTGGCAGAGCTCTCTGCAAGCGGGCGCCACACCAAAGGGTGTCAAAGGAAGCCGTGGCTCGCCTCTCACAGCTCGATATCAGGAAGGACCTAGCTGAAGACTTAAATCCAAGCACTCGAGTGCAAGCAGAAACACTGGGCGTTCGAATTTGACAGCCTCACACAGGTTTTCACAAGAAACAACATTGGCCTTTTGCAGTACAGAACGCAGCGTGCCCCCCATCCTTGAGCCCCACCTTTGATGCGAGACAGGCCGTCCGCTGGCAAGACCCACCAAGGCTGCTTGTACTTCACCTGAAGGAGAACAAGTGGCCAACAAATCCTCGTGAGATGCCAACAACTTCCCTTGAGCTGCCAGCGCAAATGTGAGACACATCTGAGACCTGCAGCGCAAGATCCTCCTTGGTGTAGCAATCATCGAGTGCCCCGGCCAAAGGCCACACCTGAGATGAATCAAATCAGCGCTCACTTCCCCCCAAACTAATCAAACAAATGCACCCTGCTTCATCTCGTTTTTTTGTTTTGTTCCCCTCGGCGGGTCCAAAACCTTTTGAAAACCTCTTGTTTTTCCCACCCCGGGTCCCCAATACCTTAGCACAGGCCAAGTCTAAACCCGTGCGAACCCGGGCGGACTTTTTCCTAGCCCCGCCGGGTCCCAGTCCCAGGGCAGTGCTCCAGGACCCAAGGTTCGTGTACCAACCAGGGAGGGACTTTGGACCAAGTCCCTGCTGACCAAAACCCCCCCCCCAAAAAAAAAAACAAAGAGCTTATCCAGTTCAAAGTACTAATTTGGGCCCGTCTGGCTAATTGCCCTGTTATGGAATATCGTTTGGTCATTGGCCCCATCCAATATTTGTTAATAGGGTGGGCGAATTAATTGTTAGGGGGAAGCGTTTATATTCGCAACTTCGGGATCACATTTCATGGAGTGGAGCATGTAAAATGCGCGGAAGGTGCCGCATAAAGCGCCTCTCAGGCACTCACAATGGGGGGTTGTCAACAATCCAGATGCAATCTGTAACGAAACTACAATATGAGGCGAACAAACATAGGTGTCCTTTTAGGGGAAATAGATGGATTTCCCTGGTAGATGCTTAAACCACCAGGTAAACCAGGCCCATGGATTTTTCTACCAAAACAACCAAAAGGACACCTATGCGAACAAAGCTGGCTCCCCAGGTGGGTGGGCCCCTCCCCTTCCCATGTCCTCCTCAAGTTCACAAGGGACTACCAACGTTGTCAGTTGCTCAAATCTAGCCAAGCATCTGCTCCGTCCTCATCATACACAATGGTCATGAAGACTCCGCAGTTCGTGCACACATGCCTCTTTGCATGGTTGGTGGTTCGCACCTGAATGCAAGGCAAAACAATGCTCCTTGTGTTGTCTAAGCAGCTATCATCATCTGAGACCAGCACAAGCTTCAAAGTGTCCTTCAACTTCTTGCAAGCTCAAGTGTAAAATTCATGCAACACAACTGAGCAGAGACTGAGACCGTTGCATATCTATATATATATATGTATGGGCCTCGCTGCAATCCTTGTTCAAGCAGGTAGAACCACCTACTAAACTGACCAATGGGGGTTTTGGGCGCTGATCAATTGAATTGGTGATTTCGTCTCCTTGTAGGCGCCTTCATGAGTTTACCTCGATCCTTGCATCCGGGTTAAAACGGGTCCTTGCGCGTCCACTGCAGCTGGCCCTGTCGAGCATTCAGCTTGGACTCTCCACCGATCAGGTTCTTAGACACTCCACACATTCCAAGCCAGATGGATGCCACTCTCACCACATCCACACCGCTCATGCCCCTTTGGCCATTCGACCGCCGAAACCATCATCCCATCCATGAACCATGGGACAACATCGCGGGTCGCGCAACCACTGAGATGACTAGTCAGGACGCATGGCCGAACCAAGCCGCGGACGAGACACCACCCGAACAACCCCCAAAAAAGAAGCCCAATCCTCAAGAGGTTCATCTAACGACGCACTTGCTTTGTGTGGTTCTCCAGGAAGACCAAGATGTTGGGGGTCCCCGAAAAACAAAAAGCACCTTGGGTGGTTTCAAAGGAAGACCAATATTTTAGGGGGCCCCGAAAAATGCAAAAAAAAAGAGAACCCCGCCCCCCCAGCACTGCACTTTGGGTGGTTTCAAAGGAAAACTCGGATTCTTAGGGGCCCCCGGAGAAAAAAACAACTCACCACCCATTTCGAGAACCCCCCCCCCCCCAGCACTTCGCTTGTTTTTGTTTTGTTTTTTCTCCGGAGCTCGTGGCCTCAACGGGCATCCAGGTCTGCCAGGCCGCCCCGGAGAGCTTCCGACAGCTGCCGCAGTAGCAGTGCTGCAGCTCCGCGGGGAACCTCGCGCTTCGGATCCAAATGGCTGCGGCTCAAAAAAAACCGGCACCCTTATGGAACCCTGGGAAGTGGCAACATGAAGGTGGTTTCCGCAGGTGGGTCCCGTTTCTTGTTTTCTTCTTTTCTTTGCGCAGGTGTCGAGCTTCGGACCCGTTGAAACGCCTGATGTGGGATGGTTCAGCCCCCATTAAAACAAAGGTTGACCCAATTTAGATGACAATCCTTAGGTACGTCATGGTGCCATAACATGAACCCCCCATAGTTTTCATGGTGGTTTGACCCCCAGGGATGTGGGCTTCGTGTTTTCCCCAGAAAAAAACAACGTGGCAGAAGGGCCTTCGGACCCGTCGAAACGCCTGATGTGGGAGGTGGATTTCGGTTTTCTTCCCGAAGGCGTGGCAGAGGGGTTTCCCGTTGTAGAAAGGGGGCCTGGGGGTCAACAGATGTTCTTGCGAGATGCGCCGCTGCGGCATGCTGCAGCCCCAACATTTTGCAAGCAACTTCTCCGCAAGCGTTCGCAGGTGGCAAAAGTTGCCGTGCCGTTGGCCAAAAGGAAACTAAACCATTGGTCCTACACATGCGGGTGGTCAAACAGAGCGATTGGCCCTTTCATGCATCCCCAGGCGGCACAAGTTGACAAGCCGGCAAGCTATTTTGACAACCCATGAAAAGATCACCCTGGTCACACCACGTAAATAGTTTGCTACTATGGTAAAAGGGGAATTCACCTCAGTTACGACTAGTTACTACCAGTTCCTTAAATAGTTTACTACCAGTTACAACCAGAGTTCTGCAAGTTCCAGAATTCCAAAATCTGGAGGAAGAATCGGAACCCCCGAGTGCAGGACCCACATCATGATGAGCTTGTTGTTTCAATTCACCTTTCCATTGGGAGACAGAGCATACTCAGTCTATGGACATGCGGGACGAGCCACGAAATCTGCCACAAAAAAACACAAACACAAGACTCTCGGATTTACCCATGATCATCGAGGGAAAAGCAAAAGTTGACTGTTGCACATGTGAATCAAAACGAGCTCGCGAACACGTTGCAGCAATCAGGAGCTCTAAAATGAAACGCACAGTGGCAATGAGAACCCGTCAATCCTTTAAGAAACCCAAACCCTAAAACACCCAAAACCTCAGCAACCTCAGCAACCTCAGCAACCTCAGCAACCTCAGCAACCTCAGCAACCTCAGCAACCTCAGCAACCTCAGCAACCTCAGCAACCTCAGCAACCTCAGCAACCTCAGCAACCTCAGCAACCCGAAATCCGATTTTGATGAAGGGGATGAAGCAAAATGGCGGACTGCCATCTCCTTTCACCCAACTGTCAGCTGGAATCGACAGATAGGCGGCCTTTGGCCTGAAAGAAGTTATGCTTTTGCGATGAACACAACATCAAACATCCGGTTTTGGGGTGCGGTCCTAGGGGTATGTTTTAGGGCTTCATGGACAGGCGGCAAACTCTGAAAACGCCGGCCTGGGCAATGTGAATTGACACTGGCCACAGCTGCAGCCACCCGTGACCGGTCCTGACCACTCTCAGACCAGCTGAGAAAAAGCTGGACATGCAGTGTCCTTGTCTAGCCGTTTGCTTCGCCTGCCGCGGCAAAGCGGTAAAAGAACAATGGGGTTGGACACTAAGGATGCGATCCTTTTGATTCCAGTCCAACAGACGAGCAGCGCCCAACACCCCCGACTGGCCGCTTTAGTAGATATCTCTTTTATTGCCTGGTTTAGTCGGGGACTGTGGTAAACTCCCATACCAAACCTTGATAACTACCATGGTAGCACCAAAAGTCAATCTGTTTCGGGTGCTGCTCACAGCGAGCGCCGCCGCCCAAAGTGCCAAGGGGTGCGGCCGCCGAGCGGCTTGCCCGTCCTGCTGGCCTTCTGTCGCTGCTTCTTGCCGGCGGGCACGAAGCCCAAGTACGGGGGCGCTTTCTCCGCACACCTGAGCTTGCAACCTTCGAAGGCGAAATGAAACCATCTGGAGGTTTCTCAAACGCTGTGGGTCAAAACAAATGGGATCCCATTTTGGGGTAGGTGCACCACCCATTTTAGAACCTATTTTAGTGGGGATTGGGATGTTGACTGGGGGTACAGGCTTTTGACCCATGGCCAAACTGTGCCACCCCCCCCTCTTTTTGGGTATGAATTTTGGTGGACGCTTAAGTGGGGAGTCATGTCCACCAAGTACTTTCGAGGTGCGTCCCCCTATGAAAGTTCACACTTGGGTAAGGGAACATGTGGGTGTGGGTCAAAAATAGGTATCCAAATGGAATCCTGGTAAATGGAACCAAAGACTAAGACCTGCGTAACCCTAGCTCTTCAATTTTGAGCCACACCCTTTCAGGAAGCAACCCATCTCATTAAGTCCGCCACCAGGGGATGAAGCTCTCAACCTTTGGGAAGTTCTCCACCTGACGGGGGCAAAACGAGTAGACGAGTACAGCGAGCGCCTCAATGAACGGTGTCATGACGCCAGGCGCCGAACAAAATGGCCATAGTGACCAGGTCCTCCAGTAGAGAGCTTAGAATAAGGGTACCCTTTTTCTGCAGTCTATTTTAGTAGGGGAACCCTCCCCCAAAACAGGGTGAGAAAGGGCACTAATGGTGGACCTAGGTGGTGCTGTTTTATCTTTAAATGTCGAATGGGCCTTTGGCCTCTTCTGCAAAGCCGTCTGCCGGTGTGAGGGCTAAACACCTTCTGCGAGGTATATGTCTACACCGCTTTCGCAGCGCACAACGTTGATGCTGGATGTGTGAAAGGTTGCTTTCGCCAAATATTCCGTTTACGGCCTTTACAACTCAACGCCTTGCGGGCTTGTGCAAGAAAGACATCACCCCCTTTGAGAATCCATGGAAAAAAAACAACAACTTTGCCAAAGGTTTCTCTGCAATGCGGCACTCTTCGCTCACATGTCCAGCACAGAGTGCACGTCCAAATTAGAGCGCAAACCAAACACGCCACTCATCATGTGCGAGTTGTCTTCATGCAAAGGGACTTGTGCCGAAAGTGGCTTTGTGCTTTGATTTCTGCTCTTGATGCCCTCTCAAACTGACTCCGTTGTGCGCGCCTCCAAGCAACCCGCTGCCACATGTACCACCTCGCCCACCTGCGGTGCTCCCTCAAATGGCGCTAGAACAAACCAAACTTTCGCCATGGCGGGGTTGACCTGAACATATGGCTGTGGGTCAAAGATAGGGGAACGCCAAAATGGGTTGCTCTGGTAAATGGAACCAAGGACTAATCGGCCTTCGGAAGCATGGCAAGCGAAGAAAAGCACCTCCCACAGAAGATCCTGAGCCGGAGAAATTGTGCCTGTTGCTCGAGTTAATGGTTGAAGACATTTGGCCATGGGTCAACACCCCGTAGCCCCAGTGAACATCCCAATCCCCACTAAAATAGGTTCTAAAATGGGTGGTGCATCTATCCCAAAATGGTACCAACAGCCATGTGTTGCCAAAACGGTCCACGGGGGCCGCTTTGGGGGGGGGGAGGGGTTCGTTGAAAGGGGTCCGGTTTCGTATCACCTTTCCAGGGCGGCACAAGTCGACAAAATGGCACCAGGGTCAAAACGATGACAAACTCCCATGACAATTCAGAATGGACATTCTGGTGGCAATGGCGGTGGCAGCTGTGCAGCAAAAGGTAAACAGTTGGGCAGCTGAACCCGTCGACCTTTGGTTCTAAGTGATTGCATCCAAAATCTTGGGGTTGAGTTGTCCACCCAAAACCAAGTGAAGAATTAGAAGGGCCGCTGCATCTACCCGCTTGGTAACGATCAAGAAGGCCAAGAGGGCAACATGGTGCCCGCCCAAACAAAATTATGGTTTCCTTTTGGAAACGTTTCAACCATCCCAATCATGGTACCCTCAACAAACAATCAATCAATCAATCAATCAATCAAACAAACAACCAAAGAAACTCAGATGCACAACCATCTTCCGCTCCTCAGCACATCTGCCGCCAAATGCTCACAGTGGTCGCTTCTGGCAACCACCAAGTCGCCACCCTTAAGGCGCTCGATTGCAGCTGTCTGCACCTAAGTGGCCAAGCAGTCTGCGTCCGAAGCTCGGGTTTCCCTTCGTCACATTTAAGCACTGGCCCAGGTTTCCCTTCGGCACATTGACATGCCAGCTGCAAGCTAGCAGCTTGCAATGATTTCTGACCTGCGGTCAACTTGTCTGTCTCACACCGGATCCTGAGTAGTGAGCAGTAACGTAAGAGGCGAAAGCGGCCTCAGTAAGGCAGGTTTGCATGCCTGAAGTTCAGAATTGAATCTTCTGAGATCCCTGGCTGAATGGGCTCTGCGGCAGTGCGGGCAGTGGCAATTGGACATATCAAGTCGTCCGTGGGGCAGCACCTGGCAGGTGAAACTCGTGACAACAGGAGCAAGGGATTTGGATTCGTGCCCTGTTTGGAAGCTATCGGATGCAGGGAGGTGGTTCCGGGGCTCAAACTTGGGGATCGGACCTTCTCTCTCCTCACTTGGCTGTCCTCAGATGCTAAAAGTTGAGCTAGTGGGTGAAATGAAAACCTAACCACTAAACCAACTGGACAGCCAAAACCTAAGGAACCGGAAAACGGGGAACCACCAAGCTAAGGCGGCTTCTTCGGCGGCCTTGGCCAATGGGAAGCGGAAGCGGCAGCCGTTGCACTTGCAGCTGCCTCGACTCGACATGGAGTCGTCTTCTGTCCGTGTACCCGTTTTAGGCGAGAAAACCCAGGGAAATCCAGGGGCAAAACACCACCCTTTTGGCGGTTCCCTCGTGGGTTCTGATGGTGCAACTGCTAACCCCGCCTGTCAGGGCAGTGGAGTCCGCATTCGCGGTAGACTCCTCCGCTGGAGCATGAAATGGGGGGAATTGGCTATTGAGCTCCTGTATTTTCTGTGGAAGAGTCCTTCTAAGCCACCCCAAAAGAGGTCACAGCACCTTCATTTCCCATGTAATGGCTAGAAACGAGTCCCACGGGGTACACAGTCGTCCTCATCGCCAAGGTGGACCTGTGCTCCGGCGAAACATGTCACGCAGGGGACCCAGCAAAAGGAGACTCGAAAAATGGATGGTTGATTGGGTTCCATCTCAATCCGCAGGGTATACGACTACATGTATAGCCCTAAAATATCTTATGTTTCAACTTGGGGTTTCATGCGAATCTGAAGAATATCATATCTCCATCCCCATGCCCGCAGTGAACATCCCAATCCCCACTAAAATAGGTTCTAAAATGGGTGGTGCACCTACCCCAGAATGGGATCCCATTGGTTTGGACAACCATATGGCTGCTGCATCATTCCTGTGACAGGCGCCTTTGCCAGGTCAGCTGCCAGGGCATCCACCTGGCCAAAAAAAACAACTCAGCTTGGCTTCGCTCGCTTTGTCAAGCGGGTTTTCTCCTCTTCCGGAAGCCTCCCCGGCTCTGTGGCCAAAATCCTTGCGTCCTTCCTTGCGGGGAGCTGGCCCAGCCTCATCCATGTTCACGCCACATGCGGCGCGCTCAGAACATGGCCAAATCTGCTTGTCGCAAGGGCGGCAAGCCGCAGGGGAAGACAATAATTTCTTGGGCGCTCGCACACGAGTTCACACCGCTTGAACAGACCTGAATATCAGCTCGAAAATGTGTCATGTCGTTCCAAAGCATTCCAGCTCGAAGAAATGTTGGGAGGCTGAGGCTTGTGAATGTCCAAAGGTGACTTGAGCCAATTGAGCCATCGACATCCATCGCAAGGCGTCCAACGCTTCAATGCCGCAACTCTGCGCGCTCTTTTCAAATGAGATACGCGTCTTCAGCGCGGCCTGCCGGAACGGAGCTGAGACATGTTTTTGGCTGACAATCAACGCGCTGAGGCCAACCCTTGCGGCCCAGGATTCTGCAAACCTCCTTTGAGTTTCCATCGAAGGGCCGGGGCCAGCTGGTAGCAATTGTTGCGCAGCCCAGTGATGACAAAGGTGGCGTTTCTCTCTGTGTGCGTGTGCGCGTGTGCGTGTTGCTCAGGAATTTTGAACATTAGGTCCGTGCTCCAGCAGGCACAGTTCACACAAAGCCATGCTGGGTCCAAGTGACATCCTCAAAATGACCCTCGTTCCTGGTGGCTTGAAGGGGTTTTCCCACCGGGACCCAACAAATAACTCTTGGAACCCCTCTAACTGGGTATGTCTCAAACCAGGGAACCTGCAAAATGGTTGGTATTGCTTGAGTCTTCCTTGAAAACAACAACCCAGAATGGTTACCCCCCCAAAAAAAAACGTCTGGCGATACGTTTTTGAAGCGCACCCTTTTTGGGCTAGTTTAGAGGCAAACCAAACGAACACCACCAACTTTGGGGTCCCCGTCCCCCTCGAAAATAACAGATATCATGGTGTCTGTTTGGTTTCCCTTTCAACCAGCCCCAAAAAAGGTGCCAACAAGCAAGACACCTCCAAATGGGTCTCTCAACATCATGGTGAAAAACTGGAAAATCAACTCAGAAGAACCAAAAGGAGAAACCCACCACCTAGAGGTCCCCCAAATTTTTGGGGAACCCAAGGGGGCCATCATCACGAGCCCGGCTTCGGCCTTCCAGGCGTCGCAGCCTTCCGCGCGCGGGCGGCGATGTCGTTGGCCACGGCCGTGGCAGTCACCTCGCTTCGGCTTCTCCGAGGCTCTGACTGAGCCCTAGCAGACGCTCCCTGGGCCGAGGCCGGGGCCAAGATATCATCTTTCACTGCAGATGGGTCTCTCAGCCTGAGCCGCAACTCGTGCCCTAAGCCGCAAAACCTCGACCTCATGGGTTGTCGATACATGCTTCGGTGTTCCTTTCGAGAAAAAAACAAAAAACAACTCCTTAAATCCATCGTTCTGGTGCACATCCCGTCACTCGGAGAGCTGTGCCTGGAAATGATGTCCTGCTCCACTGTTTGCAGTCCGCGCTGCCTGCGCACGATCCATCTTCGGGGGTCAACTCGATCGGGTCCGTCTCATGAGGAAACCAATATTTGCGTTTAGACCCTTTTCTACACCCCACCACCCCCCCACCACCCCCCCACCACCCCCCCACCACCCCCCCCAGCCCCACCCCACCACCCCACCCAAAGCTGGCGAATTTGCCGTGACGTAGCATGGAAGTTCAAAACAAACATAAAAAACATTTATAAACTGCTGCCCAACGGCGAAATGAACACACGCATTCATGAAGGGCTATTCTGCGTCCGCATGTCGAAGGTTCAGGACACCTCCCGCAACACATGTTGGATGAAGTCACTGGACCTGTCAGCGCGCAAATGCTCAATGCAACAGGCCTGGGCTCACGAACAGCCCGAAAGCACTTGCACGGATAAGAGAAGGTCTCCCCGCTTGATAGCTCTCAGGAATGAAGCCCCACCACCCCACCACCCCACCCCCCCAACCCCCCCCCCACCCCCCCCAAACCCCACCCCCCCCAAACCCCACCCCCCCCAAACCCCACCACCCCCACCACCCCCACCACCCCCACCACCCCCACCACCCCCACCACCCCCACCACCCCCACCACCCCCACCACCCCCACCACCCCCACCACCCCCACCACCCCCACCACCCCCACCACCCCCACCACCCCCCCACACCCCCACCCCAGCACCCCACACACCCACCACCCCACCCCCCCACTCCACTCCCCAAACAAACAACGCAGCCAATTCAACAGATCCAGATTCGGAAACAAAGCCTAATGCCATTCGGGTATGTGTCAATATAGGGGGTATCTTCTCAGCATGGTGGTTTTCCTTTGGGTTTCCTTACAACCCAGTACAAAAGGGTACCCTGAAGAAACACTCACGCATCCAGCATGGTCTGTTGCACGTGGAACAAATGCTTGCATTGAAATGCCGTCATGTGTTACGAGTAAAGCGGGACACGGCGAATTCTAGACCGTCTCTCTGCGCGCGTTTTCAGAAATTACAAGCGCCACATTCAGCTTGTCATGGGCAGCTTGCTGTTTCTTGGCTCCCCTTCCGTTCCATCTGCTCCCGTGGCAAAGCAAATAACACCAAGCGCTCGGCTCGCACTCTGCAATGAGCAAGCCGCAGCATGCTGGGTCAGGCCTAAGGCACTCACGGATGCACGTGACAGCCTGCAGCGCCTGAGGTTTGGGCAACACCCTCTTGGTCGAGGCTGTCCTGGCGATACCCCAACTCGGGCTGAAGACTCGAATGGCCTGTGGCTCAAAAATAGGTACCCAAAATGGCTTGCCCTGGTAGATGGGAACATGGACTAAAACCTGCGGTCCATATCGTAGTGCTAGAATTTTGACCCACACCCAATTGGCGCCGATCGCTCCCAAAGTACAATGAGCTGAATTCAATCGATTTGGTGCGACAGGATCTGACCCGAAGCTCTGAGTGGCCAAGGCACACGCCTGAAGAGCATCAAGGCTTGCTGCCATCGGCTGGACATGGGAGACTTGGTGGTCCTCGGACCAGGCAAGAAACATGGGTGCCTCGTCTTTGTTCAGGTTGGACCGCCCAAAATAGATATTGGTTTTCCTTGTGGCTGGAAAGGGTAATTTCCCTCAAAAAAAGACGCACCCACATAGACAGACATCGTGCTTTGGTTGAAGTGGCCGACGGTCAAAGCAGTGTCATGTTTTTCAAATCGAGGAGTTGCGATAACTAGAGGTCCTTTTTTGGTCATTGAGGCGGGTTAAAGAAGGAACCGGCCATCTGTTTGGCAGCACTTTAAATGCATGATGAGTGTGCGCGAGGCCCTGCCTCACCGCCAAACATGCTTGCACAGCGGAGCCCACGTTGATCTCGCCCAGCTGCAATCTGGACGCATGTGGCCATATGCGAAGTGCTTCAGTGGTGTGGACATAGCACCAGGCATGCAACCTGCAAGGCACCCTGAGGCTTCAGTTCCAGCCTCCTCGTTTGCCTCGGAGAAATTCAATGATGCTGCCCTCTAAACACACATTGACACCTCTAGAAGAGCCTCGGCATGGGAAGTTTGAAACACCCCCTCCTTGAGGCCGTCGCATCGCTTGCAACAGTGAGAGGGCATGCCTCAGGTAGAGATGGCATCCCAATTGTCTGACTTGAGGTTTGCTTGCGGCAGAAACGGAAGGACACAATAACAACTTCTGCAACATAGCCCCCCTACTAAGGAAATGGAACCATAAATGGAATTCCAGGAGTCACCCCCCTCCCCCAATTCCGTATTTAAGGGGGTGGGGATTGCAACATACAACAACTCATGCGCCGCAGAGGGACATTGATCATGCGTGTCAAAGACCTTCTCTTCATAGACTAACGAGCTGGGGCATGAGCTGCCACGGCCCTTCGTAGTTCTCATCGTCCTGGCATGCTGCAATAGAACACCGTGTCACTACTGTGGATGGACGAAATCCTGCACCACCTAAGAAACTTTGAAATGATGATTCTCCTGTAAATACCAACAAATTATGGTTGCCCATGGTTTCAAAGTGGTGCATAATTTTGTCCATCCACAGTACGACTCCACTTTTTGCGGATCACTCAGGATGCAGGATGATCTTGATTATGCCCAAGACACCTCCTCCTCATCATCCTCTTCGTCCTCTTCCTCGAAGACTTCATCATCGAACTCATCCTCTGGCCTCTGTGCATCTTCCAACATTGCGGCTTACAAATCCCAATCCTGCGAGGAGGAGTGCCAAAAAGGCTTAAATTGACGTCCTCGCAACGACTTGCAAGATAGAAGGAGCAAAACGACCAACCACAACACAAATTGAACGAGGACACTCCGCTGGCATTCGGATCTGACAGCTTAAAGGGGTCAGCCAAACGTCTGTCCAACTGGACCTCTATTTGGCTCCGGGTCAAAAAAGTGTACCCAAACTGGAACCCTGGGATTGATTTTGACCCATACCCATTTGGCTCCCTGGCCTCTGCCTCGACAAATCTGAGTGGTCACAGTCGTGCAGTGGTCTCAACATGCAACCGCAAAGGCTCACTGGCATACCGCCAAGCGTATTCCTCCAAATTGTGGCAATTATTTACCTTGTGGGCTTCTCCTATCCCAAATTAGCAGAGACTTCCCAATGACCTGCGCCAGTTACCATGTTCTTAAAGATATCATCCAAATGCACCCCATCCAACGTTCCCGAACTGGGTGTGCTTTTTGGGGCATCCTGGAATCTTTTTCAAGTCTGGAAATGAAAGAGAAAAAATGCCCAATAGAAAATCTTTGGGGGTCCCTGATTTTGCCACATAGCCTAATAGCAGAATTGGGTGAGTGTGTCTTTTGATGATTTCCTTTTGGTTTCCCTCTAACCCAACCCAACAAAGAGGGCACGTAAAAGGGCCGGATACTTAAAAAGTAGTCCCTAAGCCCGGTTATAACCCACTTGGACTTCTATCCATGGCTTTTGGTGATCTTAGCAGGCGCCACACCACAATCTAACCACGGTACCTGAGGTACCTGGCCCCTTTCAGCCCCCTTTAACAGGGATCCTTACACCATACACCTGAACATTACAACTCGAAAATGCCGGCTTCCAACTTTATTTTGTTGAGAAAGCCACATGCTTCAAATGGCAAGATGTATCGATCTTGGAGCCCTGCTACTTTCAGCGCCCTCCACACCCCTCGCTGGGCTCCCGCGCGCCAGGGCCTGCGCTCGGCGCACCGCGAAGACGGCGAGGCCGCGGCCGGCGCGCGGCGCCAGGCCCTGCGCGCGATTCGAGCGGTTGGACTGCGGGCAAAAAGGCGGGCCGGGCTGTGGGGGGTTGGATCAAACAAGAGGAAAAACTGGGTTCCGGTAGAAGCCTACATCCAAATGTTTGACAAGGGGGTCCGTTCCCACATCAGATGGTAAAGGCGATCTTTTAACCCGAAGTTCGAACATCAGCTGGTAAAAGCGATCTATTGAAAATTCAAGTGGCCCAGCTTACAGGGACACCGTACCACTATCAGCGATATGACTTCAGCTGCCAGAAGGCGTGTACAGACCGACCAGCCTGGTGGTTCAGGAAGTATGGTCTCTCTCGCAGGCCTGCCAAAATGTCGCAAGTCTTCCAAAGGTTAAAGAACGCCGCCGACACAAAAACCAAGACGTTCATAGGTCCATGTAATTAAATGGCTGGCAAGTAAAACATCTCACTGCAAAGTCCACCCAGAAAGCCGCACCCATAGGAGTTGGCTCTTGCCTTGGGAGTCTGGGGGGGGCTCGCGGAGGCTCCCGGCCAAAGCCGAGCCCAAGTCGGCTTTGCCCCGCCTGCGCCATGGCGCCTGCGAGGCTGGGGCCAAAACTGGGTATCCGAGAAGCCAGGGCTGAGGGATTCAATCAACGGTTGAAGGGCGGCAGAGTGGGGCAAAATGCTGCCGGGCCTTTCAAATTCAATGAGGGCCTTCACAAAACCTGCGAGCTGGCCATCACCAAATTGAACTAGCGGTGCGGCTTTTCAGAGGGCAGCATGGTATGTTTGGGAAAGGACTGCAACGTAGCCCAAAATCCCAAGACATCGCCTCCAAACCCTACTTCAAGACAGTGGATCTGACCTAGGCTAGAAGATCCCTGCCGGTGGAAGCGATTCTGGCCCAAAAACAGCTGAAGTCTCCATGTGTCAAGGCGAACATCGGAACTCGTTGGTCCTCACATCCAGCACAGCCAGCTGCGGCTGCGGGGGTGGCATCGGGCGCCAAGCCCGAACCGCCATGGCATTAGAGCTGAAATGAAAGCTGTGAATCAACCATTGACTCAGTGAGACGGTGTAGAGAGGCAACAAAACAGTGAGTCTCCTTGGCACAGACAGAGCCATGTTCTCACTTACATCTCTCAAGCGATTCTCTCGAGCCATCGGCTGGCCGGAAGTGTCCCGGATCCATCTGCAAGAAGTCAAAATGGGGGGACCACTGAAAACGAAAACCGTTCAGCTTTGTGCGTAGTAAAACAACCCCACAAAGGGTACCGTCAACAAACCCCACATGGAAATGCAAGCGCCTGCCCTGAGCACTCGCTCTCGGATGTTTGTCGGCACGTTCTTCACGCCGCAAGTACTGCCGTTTTAGCAGCACAGGGACCCAAGGCTTTTCGAGCCACGTTTATCTTTTCAGGAATCAAGCACTAAACTTGGGCGGTGCGTTGTTTTTTTGTTCATTCTTCCTCTCTTTCTCGACTGTGCGGCTCTGCAACTGGCAACCAAATCAAAATCACTCCATAAAAACCGTCCAAAGCGGTGGTGCTGCACTGAAGCGAGTTCTGCGAGATCACCGACGCGGATGGACAACCTGGACCTGCGGCATTTGTCAGCACCCAGGTGGTGGGCAATGGATTGGATGTGCCCAAGACCAGTATATGTTCAATCAAACTACCGGCATCCCACGGCGAACGGAGGAGACAATATGTGAATCCGCAAGCACGTCAGTAGAAGCGTGTAGTGCTTGAAAATCAGTCTCAAGTCCAAAACCTGACATGGGCGTCTCCTTGTTTGTGGGTACCCTTTTTGGGGTGGGGCTTTGATTGGAAGCCCAAGCAAAGGACCATTGGGGTGAAAGGAAACCTTCGCCTGCAAAGCTCGGGCGCCGGGAGCTGCTGTGGGGCTGTCCAGCCAGCCGCACCTGGGAGAAGCTTTGGGGTTTCTCCAGCTGACGTTCGGGGCTTCCCCCGTTTGGTGCTTTGGATTGCTTTGGACTGCTTTGGACTGCCCGGTGGTTTGGTGGTGAAGGAGGGGTTTCAATAAAAACCCTCTGCAAGAACCAGGGGTCCAAATCCATATCCAAACCGCCCATGAGTGGAAAGCTGACATTGGCTGGGGTGTCACCATGGTTTGCGGCGAACAAAAAACGGGCAAGCCTCCGCTGATGAATAAGCCGAGGGAAACCTGTCTTGGCCTTCCATGGCCAGGGGAAGCCATGCATTCTCCGAACCTGCTGTGCTTTAACGTCCGCTTTCCTCTTTTTCTTTGGGCGGGGGGCAGCCAGTGAGGCGGATTGTGGGTTGTTGGCTTGTCCTTGGCTTGTGTCAGAAAAGTTACAAAGGCGGCGTCCACTGAAACTGCCACTTTGATTGTTTGTCGGGCTTCCCTTGTTTGCAACAGTTGCACAGTGACTGGTCCTTCCACTGCAAGTGTCTCTTTGACTAATCCAAAATACCCATTGACTGAGTGGCAAGCCTGTTTTCACTGGATTGTTTCTTGGGCTTCCCTGGGCTTAAGACAACGAGCCCAGGACCACGCCACTGGGCACCCGGCAGGCGATCGGACAGGAGACGGATGTGCTGCAAGAGCCACACCTGTGACTCTCAACAAGAGAACTGTCAACCAAACCTCCTTGAGACACACACACACACACAAGCATAAGCAAAAAAGCAAGCAAGCCAGCACGCAAACAAACACAGACAAACACAGACAAACACAGACAAACACAGACAAACACAAACACAGACAAACACAGACAAACACAGACAAACAAACACTTGATCTCTTGTGCCCATTGGCGCATGCAACGCTTGCCGCCCATGTTTATGTTTTCTCCCCGGGCGCCTGCCATCGACGATCTTAGCTTTGTGTCTAGGATGGTGCAATCATTGTATTGACATTTGGACTCACCCAGGTTTCTGGCGAATCAAATATCTATATGTGTGTGGGCGCACATAGTAGCTTGTCTGGAACGTCATTGTGGGTTGCCTGTCTGCCCTGCAACACGACGGCCTTTGTTGCAGCTCGCCTTAAAACGGAAATTGCAACTTGCAACCTTCAATGTTCAAGCGCTTTTGGAATCCACTACCAAGCTTTTCACGCTGAACCCCGCCTTCTGCATCCAAGAGAGGTGCAAAGCTCCCAGCAGTTGCAAGGCACGATGCAGGCTGGGCACCTGAAGACAGCTTACACGCTGGACATTATCCCAAAGGGTTTGATTAGAGCATTGGGTTGTGCGGAGGCTCAATTGCCATCCATCTGCCCTGCCGGTTTTGACCCGGTGGCAAGCATGTTTCCTGCCCTTTGCATCGATGGTTCGATGTGTTACGGGGAGAAACTCGCTATCACGACCAAGGCCACAAGCAGCTGCGTGGGGGGGCGTACCAGCCACATGAGCGGCCACAGCTCATCCACGTCGCCCTGGATGACTGGCCTAAACAGGCTGAGACTAGTACGGAAAGACTCACATGAGGTGGAGGTGGGTTTATTGTTGAGTGAGCTGGCTTAGGGTCTGTTGGAGGCCGGTCTAGGGTGGGACACAGGACAAGCACCAGGCAAAACCACGCTGGGTCCTCGACAAAACGTCCACGGCTGCATCACGCATTTCTCGAACTGCCTGTGCCGCTGCCGGCCATCGCGAGTCCAGGCTCTGCCATGTTGTATGGTACAAGGATTTGTACTGTAGACATGTGCGTGTCTCCAAATGGGGAACCCCCAAAACTGGTTGGTTTCCTTCTGCTTTCCTCTTAAAACGATCCCCACAAGGGAACCCCCTATTTTGAGAACCACCCGTATGTGTGCATCTCTTGCCTGCCATCCCCAATGCACCGCTCGCTGCCTGGGACAGCTGAGAACACTGCACGTGTTTTCGTTTTCTCTGATCTGCGAACACTTCGGGGCACTGAACAGCCAAAACTTGAACAGACTTTCCTATATTTTCCTGAAAAAAGCATCACAACTCACCTTGAGTGGGCCAAACAAAAAGGGGAAAGACCCATCAAACAGGGAAATAAGTCCCCCTGCTGAATTCCATTCGAGTTTTGTTGTTTGCTGCTCGTGCGTCAACCTATCTCTCCGGCTGGACCAGGTGGTTGGATTCAGCGCTGACAGATTTGTCAGCATTGAGACACCTCACATGCAAAAAGGCGGCTTGCTTAGCTGGAGTGAATGGCCGAGTATTGGCACGGGAGTGGCGTGAAAGCCTAAAGCACTTCCAGGCGCAGTACCTGTATACATATACGCACATATGCACATGTGATATACGTATACCTATACATATGCATGTGTATGTACACACACACACACACTCTGTTGTTGTTCCAAGGATGCTTTGTGTGAACAACCGGTAGAGGTCCTAGCCATCATTTTGCTTCATGGCCCTGCAGCTCCAGAGTTCGAAGCCCAAGCGCCCAGGCGAAGAGACTTCAGGTTGGCGTTGGCATCTCGTTGCTTTGGGCACCTGGCAACATCGTGCGAACCATACTGTGCCCCGTTTTGGACCCTGGTGCCGCCTGGCGCCCTTGCGCCGCCTTTTGAAGGTGATGACAAAAAGGCGCCTGAAGTTTGACAACCCCCCAGGTGGACGCTATCAAAGATCTCAAAAGCAATTTGTTGTTTCTGGCCCCGCAGCTGCTTTGGCCATCTGATCCCACCCTCGTTCTGTCCATTGCTTCAAACAAGCGCCTTCGGAGCTCGCTCGTGTCGCTGCTTGAACGGAAGCTCCCAAGCCTGGATCTCCCGACAAGCGAATTGGGTGCAAACAGGCTGCAGAGTTGCCACTCTGCACGTGCTCTTGAAAACTGCTGAGGAAAATCGCCGAAGGATTTTTCCTGCAGGATTTACAAGGCTCAGAGTTCTCAAAACAGTGAGATCGACACTCTGCAAGTGACTGTCCACGCCATTCATGCGCATCAATCATGTCCGATGAACGCGTCAACAAAAGGACCACTGCTTGAAAGCTATTTGGATGCTTGAAGAGTGTCTGGCAGTGTCGAGTTAAGTGTGTCATATCGGCTGCAATGATGTGAATCGCCTGTTGCTTGGGCCTGTACTCGCCTCTGTCTATTGCTTGTTGGGCCCCTGTCTGTGTGCGATTGTCCGTGACCTGTCCTGCAGGAGCCCTTTACAAGCAAAGGAACTTTGGAAGAAACTTCCATGAAAGCTAGCTCTCTGACACAAGACAAGAGAGGAATAAGCACGCTCTGACAGATGCATAGTTAGTGGGTTGGTGGGTTAGTGGCTTAGTGGGTTAGTGGGTTAGTGGGTTAGATAGTTGGATAGTTAGATAGTTAGTTAGTTAGTTAGCTAGCTAGCTCGTTCGTTCGTTGTCGTTCATTAGTTAGTTAGTAGTTATTTAGTAAGACAGTTAGCTAGTTAGAAAGCAAGTTAGCTAGTTACAAAGAAAGTTAGCTAGTTAGTTGGTTACAAATAAAGTAACTAAGACCAATTAGGTGATTGATAGATAGATCGATAGGTAAATAGATAGATAGATAGGAAGGTAGGTAGGTACATTCAATAGATAAATGGATAGATAGATAGATAGATCGGTTGGATCGGTTAGATCGACTAGATAGATAAGATGGATACGATAGATTGGACAGTTTGGACAGATAAGATAGATTAGAGAGATACGATAGATTAGATAGACAAGACAGATAAGATAGATCAGATAGATGAGATCGATAAGATTGATAAGCTATGTGTATATATATATATATATATACACGACAGGCAAGACTGATAAGGGATGCGATATATAAGATCGATAAGATCGATAAGGTTGATAAGATGGATAGATGATACGGATAAGATGGATATGATAGATAAGATAGATACGATAGACACGACCGATCAGCTAGATCAGATAGATAGGATCGATAAGATAGATAGATAGATAGATAGATAGATAGATAGATAGATAGATAGATAGATAGATAGATAGATAGATAGATAGATAGAGAGATAGATAGGTAGGTAGGTAGGTAGGTAGATACATGGATGATAAATAGATAGATAGATAGATAGATAGTTAGGCAGGTAGATAGATAGATAGCTAGACAGATAGATAGGTAAACCCGGAGAGAGAGAGAGAGAGGGAGAAAGCGAGAGGTAGAAAGAGTTATTCCATGAGAGCACAAGATACAAATCAAGACTAGCTGCGCGCAACAAGAACAGAACAAGGAGACAGAGAGAGAGAGAGAGCTAGAGCGAAAAGCGGAAAGAAAGAAAAGACACGCAAAAAAGAAAGAAAGAACGAAAGAAATAAATAACACACAAAACAGAAATACATAAAGAAAAAAGAAGAAAAGAAAGAACGTAAGAAGAAGGAAGGAAGAACAGAAGAACAGAAAGAAAGAAAGAAAGAAAGAAAGAAAGAAAGAAAGAAAGAAAGAAGGAAAGAAAGAAGGAAAGAAAGAAGGAAAGAAGGAAAGAAGGAAAGAAGGAAAGAAGGAAAGAAGGAAAGAAGGAAAGAAGGAAAGAAGGAAAGAAGGAAAGAAGGAAAGAAGGAAAGAAGGAAAGAAGGAAAGAAGGAAAGAAGGAACAAAGGAAGGAAGGAAGGAAGGAAGGAAGGAAGGAAGGAAGGAAGGAAGGAAGGAAGGAAGGAAGGAAGGAAGGAATACGAATACATAAACAAATATATAAACAAATAAAACAATAAAATACATTATTATTATGTAAGTGAAACATACTTGTACACATGTGATATAATATTCAAAATAAACAAATATAAATACAGACAGGCATATGAAAGAAGTGAAGGACGCAAGACAATAATCACGATAAAGAGAACAACAAGAAATAAAGAAGGCATAGATCACGATCACAAATCGCAAAACGCGATAACAAAAAAAACAAAGAGCACATAGAGAACTACAGCTATTACATTTTTGGAAACTTGCGCCCAGCGCCGGCTTCGCCGGCTCTGGTAGCTTTCTGAAGGGTTGGACACTTTTGGATCATTTGGGGGCTAAATCCATGATTGGAATAAACATGAACTGAATCCCAGCGCCAACAGTGTCACCCCGAAGCAGTGTAATCCTTGTTTGTTCTTCTCTCTCTCTCTCTCTCTGTCGCTCTCTCTGTCTCTTCCTCACTCACTCCACTCACTCACTCACCCACCCACCCACCCACCCACCCACCGACCCACCCACCCACCCACCCACCCACCCTCCCACTCACTCACTCACTCACTGACTCACTCACTGACTCACTGACTGACTGACTGACTGACTGACTGACTGACTGACTGACTGAATGACTCACTCACTCACTCACTCACTCACTCACTCACTCACTCACTCACTCACTCACTCACTCACTCACTCACTCACTCACTCACTCACTCACTCACTCACTCACTCACTCACTCACTCACTCACTCACTCACTCACTCACTCACTCACTCACTCACTCACTCACTCACTCACTCACTCACTCACTCACTCACTCACTCACTCACTCACTCACTCACTCACTCACTCACTCACTCACTCACTCACTCACTCACTCACTCATTTTCTCTCTCTCTCTCTCTCTCTTTTTCTCTCATTCTCTCTCTCTCTCTATGACTATGCTGAGTTCGCTGCAACCAACGCCTCGCTCACCTGCGTGACCTTTGTCCAAGTGAAATGTGCGGGTCTCAGGCAGGACAAAAGTCAAAAAATGGAGATTGAAGCCCTGAGATTTGAGCATGAATTTCGGTTGGGCACCCTGTGGACATCACTTACTTGAATTGATCTGGAGATCTATGTCCAGCAACCATTTTGCAGGTTCCCGTTTAAAATTAATGGCGTTGTGTTCAATACAACCTTGCTCACAATAGTGGCGTGCTCATATTCAGGGGAGGCCCTTCTTGAGTGTGTGCGCGCACACACACACATGGTTGGCATTTGCAGAGACAATGGCCCAGGCTGTCACCACCGAGTACAGCATCATGCAGAACAATATAGTAAGCAGAAATGCAAGGTGTCGATCCGAGCCAATTCGCGACAAGCTTCAGGACAAGCGGACTCAAAGCGAGTAAGCAGCCCCACAGTTGTGCGGAAGCCATGGCGGCCCAAACGCAGCCAGGACAGCATCTGCCTTGGGAGCAGTTGGCACTTGAGAGTGGCAAGGAAGCTGGATGATCAAACTCAAGAGTTGGCTGCCTGCAGGTGTCTAGGAAAAGCTGCTGACAGTTGAGCAACAAAAGCCAACCTGAAGGAACTCACATTGTACTTTTTTGCGGTCTATTCTTTTTGGAGTCGTTGAGGGAAAGCAAGAGACATCACCTCATTTTGGGGCTCTCTATTCTTTAGAGACAAGCCGCCATGGTTGTGGTTGCTCTATGACGTGCGCTGCCTTTCCACTTGTCCCCGCTGCCTTCCCTCCCGAGCACGCACTCGTTTCTCCCGGCAGCCGAAAAATATTCTGTTCGTTGGCATGGACTGCCGCAGACCGCAAAGGATGAAAAGCGCAGTATGCGCAGCATAGTGAATGAATAACCAGCTCACTACGGCAAGGCCCCGCTCGTCTCTGATACTCGAGCCCTCAAATCTGGGACTCTGAGACTTTGATGCAAGACATCAAGACGATGGAATCTGATTGTCTGAGCTTGGCTCTGGGAGACAGCCACGACTGCCTGGAAAGTGCAATCCGTTCATTGGGAATAGGGATCAAATCGCACACAGACATAAACACGCATGCAAAGCAAGCAAGGGGATCCGTGGCAAAAAAATCTTGGGTGTCCAGCACATGGAAAAGTTGGGTAAACCCCGTGGTTTTGTTCTTTGTGTGGTTTTGGGCCGTATCCTCCCCGATTAAGATCACATTGTCGACAAAGCTGCTTAACCTCTTGCGCGATAACTGTTGTCATCATATAGAATAAGGGCACCCTTCTTGCTGTAGTCTATTTTAGTAGAGGAACCCTCCCCCAAAAAAGTTGGTGAAAGGCATTACTGGGGGACCTAGATATTCTTCACATGTCTCATTCGTGTCGAACATCTCGTCTCAAGAGACGGCTTCTCTCTGCCTGGCTGAGCTGGTTGACGTGCGGTGCTCGAAAAAAACAGCGAGCAGAAAAGCCGCATATTTCAGACACAAGCCTTCCCGCCGTGCAAGTGATGCACACTTGTGCACCAAGGCGTTAAGAATTCAACTTAAATCGACCTCTGCAAGCAACGTGCCGAACTTTTGAATACAGCTGACTGAAGGGCACATCAACATTGCTTCTGCTTACAAATTTAAACAAACCAAAACAACTGCCTGAAGAATCAGACCATTCTCGCTAATCTTCCATAAAGCGGGCTCTGCACACCTTCCTGCCGGTCATATGTTCTGCCCTTCGTGTGAGGTGTCTGGCGTCGCGACCTACGCTGCTACGCGATCCTCGAGGTGTCCCGGCCGAAGACTTCGCCGCGAAGCCAATCCAGGCCAACCAAGGCGCGGTTCTTCCAGCCTGAGGGTCCCAGAAAAAGCAACGCAGGTCTGTGGCATGGTCCGAACTCCTGAAAAAATTGCCTATGGTCATGGCTCCCTTAGTTGGAACCATTATAATGGTTACTAAATATTAAGAATCGAACCATTTTAATGGTCCAATAATGGCGACTAAGTATTAAGCATCCTTGTTACTAGGTGGATGGCCATCCCTTTTGACCCCCAAAGGGGTCTTTTGACCATCATGTAATATGAGACATGGTCAAAGCGAATGTTCCCGAGACTTGGGAGATTTACTCAAAATCTAGTGAGCGCCCAACATGCAACAGCTCTTCAGGGGTGCTGACTTACAGCATCTGATCGACGAAAGGAAACAACATGCCGCTTGTAAGTGAAGCGTCGGACGTCTTATCGGGGACCCCAAAGGTTCCACTCTCCAGTTATCATAACCGTCATCCGCAGCTCTGGTAATGCAGATGATGCTCCGATGATAGTTATCATAAGAGTCATCATCCTTATCATCTTCATGATGATTGTCATCATAGTCATCATCTTTATCATCGTCATCATGATTGTCCTCATCATCTCTTTCTTCTATACATTTCAAATGTGGCGTTAGGCACCCTTGGTAATGCAGAGGATGCTACGATGATAGTTATCATGACAGTCATCCGCAGCTTTGGCACTGCAGAGGATGCTACGATGATAGTTATCATAAGAGTCATCATCCTTATCATCTTCATGATGATTGTCATCATAGTCATCGCCTTCATCATCGTCATCATGATTGTCATCGTCATCTCTTTCTTCTATACATTCCAAATGTGGCGTTAGGCACCCTTGGTAATGCAGAGGATGCTGCGATGATAGTTATCATGACAGTCATCCGCAGCTCTGGTAATGCAGAGGATGCTACGATGATAGTTCTCATAAGAGTCATCATCCTTATCATCTTCATGATGATTGTCATCATAGTCATCGCCTTCATCATCGTCATCATGATTGTCCTCATCATCTCTTTCTTCTATACATTCCAAATGTGGCGTTAGGCACCCTTGGTAATGCAGAGGATGCTACGATGATAGTTATCATGACAGTCATCCGCAGCTTTGGTACTGCAGAGGATGCTACGATGATAGTCATCATAAGAGTCATCATCCTTATCATCTTCATGATGATTGTCATCATAGTCATCGCCTTCATCATCGTCATCATGATTGTCCTCGTCATCTCTTTCTTCTATACTTCCAAATGTGGCGTTAGGCACCCTTGGTAATGCAGAGGATGCTACGATGATAGTTATCATGACAGTCATCCGCAGCTTTGGTACTGCAGAGGATGCTACGATGATAGTCATCATAAGAGTCATCATCCTTATCATCTTCATGATGATTGTCATCATAGTCATCGCCTTCATCATCGTCATCATGATTGTCATCGTCGTATCATCTCTTTCTTTTATACATTTCAAATGTGGCGTTAGGCACCCTTGGTAATGCAGAGGATGCTACGATGATAGTTATCATGACAGTCATCCGCAGCTTTGGTACTGCAGAGGATGCTACGATGATAGTTATCATAAGAGTCATCATCCTTATCATCTTCATGATGATTGTCATCATAGTCATCACCGTCATCATCGTCATCATGATTATCAGCATCATCTCTTTCTTCTATACATTTCACATGTGGCGTTGGGCACCCTTGGTAGTGCAGAGGATGCTGCGATGATAGTTATCATGACAGCCATCCGCAGCTTTGGCAATGCAAAGGATGCTACGATGATAGTTATCATAAGAGTCATCATCCTTATCATCTTCATGATGATTTTCATCATAGTCATCACCGTCATCATCGTCATCATGATTGTCATCATCATGTCTTTCTTCTATAGATTCAAATGTGGTGTTAGGCACCCTTGGTAATGCAGAGGATGCTACGATGATAGTGATCATAACCGTCATCCGCAGCTCTGGTAATGCGGAGGATGCTACGATGATATTTATCATAACAGTCATCATCCTTATCATCTTCATGATGATTGTCATCATAGCTATCACCGTCATCATCGTCATCATGATTGTCATCATAGTTATCACCATCATCATCGTCATCATCCTTGCCATCATCATCTCTTTCTTCTACTTCTATAGTCATCATCGTCATCATGATTTCAAATGTGGCGCTAGGCACCCTTGGTAACGCAGAGGGTGCTACGATGATAGTTATCATGACAGTTATCCGTAGCTTTGGTAATGCAGGGGATGCTGCGATGATAGTTATCATAAGAGTCATCACCCTTATCATCTTCATGATGATTGTCATCACAGTCATCGCCTTCATCATCGTCATCGTGATTGTTATCCTTATCATCGTTATCCGTATGATCATCATGATCTCTGCTTCTGCAGCATTGGTAATGCAGGGGATGCGGCAGCTTTGGTAATGCAGAGGATGCTGCGATGATACGTGTGTCTGTAACAAAAATTGTGCCTGTAACCGTTACCATGTAATCTCATTTTATATTATATTATATTGAATATGTATCAAAATGGGTGCTGCCACGTCTGGAAACAGAAAACACGTACTTTAGGCCGAAAGGCGCTTCCCAAAAGATGGGTGCTGCTAGATGTCGAAAAAAACACTTGCTACTACCACGTCTTCAAAAAACACTGACATGAGTTAAGCCGAAAGGCGCTTCCCAAAACATGGGTACTGCCACATGTCGACAAAAGAAACAGCTGCTACTACCACGTATTGAAAAACACTAAGATGGCTTAAACCGACAGGCGTTTCCCAAAAAAAGGGGTGCTGCCGCCGCGCTTCGAAAAAAAAACAGCACAAACCGGCCGCGTAGACTCAGGCCACTTTTAGCACAGAGCATTCGCTCTTCCGATCGGCTTGCAGTCACAAGCCAGCCGCGTAGACTCAGGCAACTTTTAGCACAGAGCGTTTCCTCTTCCGATCCGCTTGCAGTCACAAGCCAGCCGCGTAGACTCAGGCAACTTTTAGCACAGAGCATTTCCTCTTCCGATCCGCTCGCAGTCACAAGCCAGCCGCGTAGACTCAGGCCACTTTTAGCACAGAGCATTCGCTCTTCCGATCGGCTTGCAGTCACAAGCCAGCCGCGTAGACTCAGGCAACTTTTAGCACAGAGCATTCCCTCTTCCGATCAGCTTGCAGTCACAAGCCAGCCGCGTAGACTCAAGCAACTTTTAGCACAGAGCGTTCCCTCTTCCGATCAGCTTGCCGTCACAAGCCAGCCGCGTAGACTCAGGCAACTTTTAACACAACACATTCCCTCTTCCGATCAGCTTGCAGTGACAAGTCACAAGCCAGCCGCGTAGACACAGGCAACTTTTGGCACAGCGCATTTCCTCTTCCGATCAGCTTGCAGTCACAGGCCAGCCGCGCAGACCCAGGCAACTTTTAGCACAGAGCATTCCCTCTTCCGACCAGCTTGCAGTCACAAGCCAGCCGCGTAGACTTTTAGCACAGAGCACCCACAGGCAACTTCCAGCACAGCTATTCATTCCACAAGCCAGCCGCGTAGAGGCAACTTTTAGCACAGAGCATTTCCTCTTCCGATCCGCTCGCAGTCACAAGCCAGCCGCGTAGACTCAGGCAACTTTTAGCACAGAGCATTCGCTCTTCCGATCGGCTTGCAG